ATCATCATCCTCACCTCCAACGTGGGGGCGCAGGCCGTCCTCGACGCCGACGTCGACCTCGTGGCAGGAGAGCGCGACGAGGCCGAGGTGCGGCTGCGCGTGCTCGACGAGCTCCGGTCTCGCTTCCGGCCCGAGTTCCTCAACCGGCTCGACGAGCTGGTCCTCTTCCGGCACTCATTCAAAGCAGTTGTCGATGCGTTATGAGTTGTTAATCAGGCTCGACGAGCTGGTCATCTTCCGGCCGCTCCGCAAGGCGCAGCTGCGCACCATCGCGCTGCTCGCGCTGCGCGCGCTCACGGGGAGGCTCAAGGCGCGGCAGATCTCGCTGCACCTCCCCGACGACGCGCTGGGCGTGCTCGTCGACCTCGGCTGGAACCCGGAGTACGGCGCGAGGCCGCTCAAGCGCACCATTCAAAAGGTGTTACCCCACATCTCCCCGCATCTCCCACCATATCTCCCCCTACCTCTCGACCACCATTGAACAGGAGCTCGAGGCGCCGCTCGCGCGCGCGCTGCTCGCCGGCGAGATCCGCGACGGCGACGACGTCGAGATCCACGTGGACGCGGCGTCGTCGCGGCTAGCCGTGCGCGTCGTGGGGCATAGCGGCGTGGCAGCGTAGCTTGTACTACAAAGGCGGAGGGGGAGGGAGTGGAAGGGCACTAGCGCCCCACCCACCTCGCCGACCCTATCTTCATTCCAGATCATGTTGGCGCCGCCCCAAAGCGTGATCTCGTTTTTTGCACATCACAACGGCACATGATATTACTCTAAAGGTACGATTTTTACGGCTCTTTATTCAAACCCCGGTCCCCGCTTGTACAGGGGATTCCGATTCGCCCGCCCCGCGGGGCAGGGTGCGGGACCCGCGACACCCCGCAGCTCCCCGGCTCTTCACGACAGGGCAGTGTCGGCAGTGGGTATGGGACGGCAGCGCAGGCAGGGCAGGGCAGTGTGTGCGAGCAAGGCAATACAGCACTATCAGCAGGGCAGGGCAGGTCTCATAATTCATGCAGGTCTGAGATTTAAAGCAATGCCGAGCTGCACCTCCGCCCCAGTGCCCGCCCCGTCGTATTGAATTCCCACACCCCTCGCGGGGCGTACCACAGAGGAAGCGCGCAGTCCTCGCTGAGCCGGCGGGAGGCCAGGTCCCCGCTGCCATCGACGGAGGCCGTCGCACGAGGCCGCCGCTCGCAGTGCGAACTTGCGCCCCGTCAGCACGGAGATGTCCCGCGGAGGTGCCATGGAGAAGCCGCGGCGCGAGAACCGGAAGGCCGTGGCGAAGCGCGAGAGGCTACCACGTAGTCCTCCCACGTCCCCTCGATCGCGCCTTCCGCCATTGCGGACGTCGTGAGCTCGAGGCCGGGCCGCGGCGGCGGGTCCTGCGCCCCATCGACCGCGATGCCGGAGCCATCGAAGCTTTGCCCGACGATCCCGTGCGGCGCCACGAGCAGGCTCTTCTCGTCCACGCGGAGGTGGAAGGCCACGTCGAGGCGGACCTTTGGCCCGGCGATCCAGTCGGACCGGTGGTAGTAGTCTGGTACTGCCATGGGTGCGAGCGCGTCTCTGCGGCGCGTGTCGCGGAGGAGCAAGGGCCGTTTGGCGGTGGTGCCAAAGGACGGCGCGGCGGCGTCGCAAGCGGCACGTTCGGTCCCTCGTGACCCGAGGCTGCCGTCTTGGAAGCAGCCTTCGCGTCTAACTGGACCGCCGGGCCCGCACATCGCACACTGTGCTGCGGCGCTTCGGCGTGGCTGCTGCCGGGCCGCAGCTTCTTCGGCTCTGTCGCGGGGCTCCAGCCTGCGCCGCAGACCATCGCAAGAGCGCGTTTGCTGCCTCGAGGCCCCGGCATGATGGCGGCCTTGGCGTGCTCCTGCTCGACGGTTACAGCTGTTCGCGCTCCCGCTTGATGTCAGTGCACGCATTTCTTTTTAAATTGTCAGAACAGATTGTCAGAACAGGCGAACTTGGACTCGAAGTTGAAAGTTGAAGTTTGTGTCAGAACGGGGACCAAGTTTGTGTCAGAACAGGGCCTAGGTACGCCTCAACGTGAGAGTGTCGCCTTGGCGCTCGGGAGGACGTGCTGTGTGTTGAGTCCGTCCGTGGCTCGGAGGGAGACTTCAAGACAGGAAGAGGGAAGGAGCGGGGCAACTGGGAACGTCAGAGCCCCTGAGCTGTGAAGAGAGGGGAGGATTTTGCGCTGTCAGAACGCTGTCAGAACGCTGTCAGAACACTGTCAGAACGCTGTCAGAACGCTGTCAGAACGGCCAGGTCTCTGTCAGAACAGGTGCGGGAGCTCCACAAACCAGGTTTAGGAGCGGCCCCCTAAATGCTAGGAGCGGCCCCCTAAATGCTAGGAGCGGCCCCCTAAATGCTAGGAGCGGCCCCCTAAATGCTAGGAGCGCCGCCCACGCCGCTGCCGGCCCCGCCCCTCCACAAACCAGCATCCCGCCGCCGCCCGGTCCTGCTGCTGCCCCTGCGGCTGCCGCCCCCGCCCCCAACGCCCCGCATCCGCTCGGCCCACGGGCGCCGGCGGGCCGGGGTGGCTTCATTCCCCCGCGCCAGGGCCCCCGTCCACCACCACCACCGCCTCAGTGAAGCTGCCCGAGGCCCTCCGCCTTTGTGATAACTGCTCTGACATGTGGACCTGAGGGTGGCGCTGAGGTGCCGCTGGGGTGACCGTAATATATGTGTGTGTGTGGCTCTGACGGGGCGTTCTGCCTTGAGATGTATATACAACACAAAGGCCCCGAAAGACTAGGGTTAGGGTTAGGGTTAGGGTTAGGGTTAGGGTTAGGGTTAGGGTTAGGGTTA